TTATATGTATAATTGTTTGGAAATAATATACCATAGTGAAATAATTTGCAGTGGATTTTTTTTCAAATTAATTATCGTCATATATATATATAATCTTTCGGGCTGAATTCCCTCCCCCAAAATTTAATCTGGATCCGGTAGTGTATATCACTATTATCAGAGCAAAAGTTCGAATGTAAAAATTTTCAGCTTTAATTCTATGTGTTAATGGTGACATTTTGTAGCCTGCATCTGATATAAGTAGTCTGCTACTATGGAAAATAGTAGATCACAATAAAATATGAAATTATTCTAATAAAGCATAAAGAAATGATGAGTTTTTATGCACTCTTGTAAAACAATAAATAACTTTGTACGTAAGACCTTTTGCACTAACAGTATTGAAATTCATGTTCAGTATGCATTTTTTTTTTGTTTTTTATTAGGCATATTCAAGTATGGAATCTTGAAATACGACACTGTTTTGTTGAATGTTGAAGGGTAACTGTAATCGGCTATTCCGATTCTGCTTCTCTCAGAGATTTTATTCTCATTCGAAAAATTGTATACCTTGTAATATACAACGGAAACGGTGAGGAAGCTATACTGACTGACCTTACTTGGCAGACTTTTTTTTTTATGTTATTGTTTTCTACTTTTTCTCTGTATGGATATTATAAATTCAAATATGTAATTAATTACATATGACACCTTAAATAGCGCAAACCAGATATTTTTATCTATTCGTTACAAAGGCTTAAAATCTAAAAGTTATTGGTATGATTTGAAAAAGCAGTAAATCAGCTTTCAAACGGGTTTAGTAACGTTGCATTTGGAGGATTTATAAATGAGTTACTTAAATGATACGACCAAAAATTAAGAGTTTTAAAGGACGTTAAAAATGTATCTGAATTTTTCTTCATGAACAAATTTACTTGGCCTACTATACTGGAAGCGTCTATGGGTTTCGTAATTTATTATACATTAGAATTCGGTTAACACAATTAGCAGTGTTTTCATTTTCTTTTTCACAAAAAACAAAACAAAGCGATTGATAAATATTAATTTAGAAATTCATGCGAAGCAAAGTCATAAACACTATTATAAAAAAATAAAATTTTATTATATATTGATATTACTTTGGCTAGGATCCATAGTAATAAATCTAATATTTTTCAACCTTGTATCACTAGAAAACGTTTCAATTAAATCGGTGCTCCCACGACCGTGATTAACCTTTAAGATGGAATAACTAATCAATATATAATATTTTTATTCTGTATTAGAATTATTTAATTATAAAACCACCTTATTAAAATGAAATTCGTCAATACTACATTTTTATTTTCAAATTTTATAATGGGATAGGTTTTGGTCCTCTCAAAGAAATTTAAATCTGTTTAAAGATGAACCATTCATCATTAATAGAATAATAGTCCGAAGCAGTATATTGCCCCTCATAATGCATTTTAATGAATGCAGCTGCTTTAATTACATTATAATATTTTTATGAATCTTAAAATATGATTTTAACAATTTGGTATCAAGTCATTCTTTGAAGTAGTATTTTATGGAGCTATTGGAAACATTTCAACTCGACTTCAATCAGTAAGGATTTTGCACTCTAACTCCTGAAGCGTATCTTCGTCATTCCAATGGTTATACCACTCTATGCTTGACTTAAACATTTAATGTTCTGTCTATTTAGAAACAGTAATAAAACGTGAATGAGGTCAATGATCGTTCGGCCAAATCATTACGTTCATTAACAGTAACTCATTCATATATTTCTATTACTCTCCATAAAAACTTTAATCACATCTGTGCTTTCTCAACTGCTTCATAAATCTTCTCAAGATTGATTTATTTTATTTTTTTAATATGTTTCTATTTTGGTATAATGATTCGAGTCAATGAAATATGGAGTCAATATCATTAATGGAGTATACAGAAGATTTGGCAGAACCATTCGTGGATTGATTATTTTTTTACTGAATATGGTAATCGTTAACCTACAGTATCCTTCAGTGATATTATACTTGTTCCTGTTGCACAAATCCGCTACCTAGGACTCCACTTGGATAAACGTTTCACTTCGTATCCGCATACTAGACTGAAACGACAAGAAACTGCTCGACGTTTTCGACTGCTCCAACATTTACTAGACAAACGCTCCAAACTTTCAATTAATTACAAAAGACTCACCTACTTACCCATAATAAGACCTATATGGACATAAGGAGTTGAGGTTTGGGGCTCCACCAAACCATCGAATTCCTATCGTATTCAATCCTTACAATCCAAAATCCTTAATGCCCCATATTTTGTCACAAATAAAACCATGCATAAGACCGCTGATTTAGCGATGTTCCATATGCCGCTGATTTAGCCCGAGCCAGATACCTATCCTTTCATGATAAACTCCAGTCCCATCCGAATCCACTCACCGAATTGTTTCCAGCCTTGCTTCTTCCTCGAGTCCTGATAATCCCCCTAGGTGTCTGAAAAGAAGATGGCCTCGTAATCTTCTTACCTAGAATTAAATAGGGAGTGCTACCACTGGGCAGTATCTCTTCAAGTCTGTTCATGCCATTATTATATAATTTGTGCATTTTTACTGGTTGTATTGTTTATACAGTTGTAAATTTCATTTAAAAAAAAATAAATATATATATATATATATATATATATATATATATATATATATGGTAATTACTCTGGACGAAATAGGAAGAAACTATGTTAAATGACGTTTAAATAATTCTTGAAGGCCTATACAAAAAAAAACTAAATAATAATAAAATAAAAAGCATTAATAAGTGCAATGATAATACTTTTAGGGGTAGTACATTTTTTATTGACTATATTCGTGCTTATATTTCGTAGCTGTATACTTATAAGAATTTAAAAACAAAACATACTGAGATTATTTTAAAAACAAAACCTCCAGCAATTATTTATAATATCATGTAATCTCTCTTTTCGAATTTGTATATATGATGTTAATTATTTCTATAAAGTATTACTGCTATTTTATTTTACAGTTTCGTTTTTTATTTTTATCTTTCTAGCTGTAATTTAATGAGCTCGCGTTGTTTTGTTTTTTTATTATCTTCTATTATTTCCTTAATATCATTATCCATTACGTTTTGTTTTACCTTTATATGCAGCCCTTTCCTTATAAACATAAAAATAAATTACACAATGTTATACCATTACAATTTTAATTAGTAATATATAAATGAAGGATTGACGGCTTTCAAGGGAAAATTAAGCTTCATTCTTACCAAGTATTCACCGTTTAATAAATGAAATTCAACATAAAAACTGGTGCGATGCTCTGTTTTAATTACAATTTTCCGGTTAATTGCGAGAGAAAATCAGGAGGTATTTGGAGTATGGAAACGAGTTCTCTGGAAGCTGTATAAGAGTACCAAGAAGCAGTTAGGGGGATTGTACCTGCGTGGGTTCCCTTCTCGGAATTTAAGTAATGTGTCTTACATGGAATATATTTTTAGAGAAAGTAGATTCTATTCCATTATACATAATGTCTTTTTATTACCTAATAAAGTGAATTAAACGAATAATTTATCGACAAAAAAATACAATTTAATTATTAGTAATATTAATCAGTTTAAAATTTGTAAAGCTGTGAAACAATGTCAAAAATTCCAATTATGAGATACTTCTGAGATATTTCATTAAATTTATATTATATGTTTCTTACGCTATTTTCTTTATATTTCTATTACTTATAATTTATTTTATTTTGCTACGAATTTGTGTATTTAATTTAATTTTAACTCTCAGTTACATTTCCTTGGTTTATTATAGTTTTTGCCTTTTTTATATAGATGTTTATATTTTTTTATTTATTTTTTTTTTTTATGATATTGTATATATGGTATGAATGTGCCTCACTCAGCCTTAGTACTCAGTGCCCTTAAGTGTGGCAAAATGTATTATTTATCAATAAACAGATTTAAAAACTAATGTCTTTATAGAACAACAAATAAGTTATAGACAAATGTTATTAATTAGAATAAAATATAAATTGATTGTTGACTTGGTTACAAATAATAAATATTATTGTTTTAAACAAAGTATGCACACATATATAAATATAGTATTATAATAAATTTACAATATTTTGAGCTGATCAGATATTTTATGAACACAGGTTTTAGTTGAGTTAAAAGCACAAAATTAAAGTAAACGAAGAGTATGTTAATTTTTAAATATTTTATTTACATATAAATAACTAGATTGAGTTTACTTGTTTTCTTCATAGCTAATTTATTTTTATTTTATTTATGGGCAAATCAAATATATTATGTTCCACCGGACGCCCCCAAATAAATTAGCCTTGGAAATAAAAAATAAAAATGTTTGGTGGGGTTTTATTTATTTATTCCTTATAAAGGGGTAAAGTGTAAAAGTTATTTATATGTTTTTAAGAGCAATAATTTACTTTTCCAACGGTCGTGGTAACGTTGACTCAGGAGAAAATCCTGAACAAGTTATGAATATTTTAGTGAACGGCATGAAAAAATATCCTCCCATAAAATTAAGTCCAAAATTTTATAATTTCTTAATTAAAAAAAAATTATATTTCAGATTTTTAAAAGATGATAAAAACTAATCAGAATCGTTAATCCATGACAAAAATTGACTTGACCTAATTCACTTGAAGCGTCTCTGATTTTCGTAATTTCTTATGCATTAGAATTATTTTAAAACAATTAGCAATGTATTTTTCTTATATTACACAAAAAGTGAAAATCGATTGGTATATAATAACTTAGAAATCCATGCAAAGTTAGGAAATATCAATATAAGGCTCCTAGAGCGAATCGGTCAGAACCCACAGACTTGCGTCAAACATTTTTCGATCTAGTATCGCCAAAAAAAGGTTTAATGAAAACGGTGACCCCACATCCGTAACCTCCCCTTGTTAGTGTAAATTCTAATTATCATCTTGAATTCATAGTTGTAATAAAAATATTCTTGAATGTTCCTACCTTTTTATGAAATGGACAAATTCTTCAAGGAACCACCTGGAATATTGTCTATTGTTGCCAGTCGTAGAAAACTCTGCAACCCGTTGTCCAGTGTTTGGTATAGTGATTGTCAGGAAAACATTGGTTCTACACTTCACTTGATGCTTTTCTGTAAAGAAAAAGAAAAAACTAAATAAAATTGAGAAAAATTCAACTTCATTAATATTTTATCACAATATTAGGTATTTATAATATATATATAATTTTAAATTATGAATTGAATTATGATGGATGATTCATTATAATATTATCAAAGATGTAGTCGTTAAAAATACTATCAATTATTAGATTACACCATCCTGTATCGATTTATTTTAAATTATCCATCTACTTTGATAAAGGGTCAATTTTTAAGACTGTTTTTAAAAATGATCTCGATTTAAAGATTGCGCGATCGTGTATCGATTTATTTTAATTTTTTATTCAATTGAGTTATACAGTGCAATAATTTGTTTTTATGTTATCTAATTTTTGAAAAATACAATTGCTTTTAAGATTGCGCAATCATGTATCGATTCATATTATTTTTTCATATTCCTTTCATATACTTGTCTATTTCAATGCTATCATTGGACATGTTTTTGAAAAAAAATCTCGATTTTGAGATTGTGTAGGCATATATAGATTTATTTAGATTTTTCGAATTTCTTTGGTGTAATGATCCATTTTTATGTTAAATAGCTTTTGAAAAATATGTATCAATTTTTTTTCCAACACATTCAATATAAATATTCATTTTCATGCTATCGGATATCGTTTTGAACTAATTAATCATCAAATGAAGTAGTTATTGAAGTACTCGGTACTCAAACAGAGTGTATGAGTAAAATACTCTGTGCTTTTTGCCGTACTCTGAGAAAAAAATATCCTCTGGATCTTTTTCGCTCTTATAAGTCAATCATCAATAGTTTCCTCGTTCAAATACCTCCTTTTTAACCAGGTTTTCCTCGTCCAGTTTGATTATTGTTATTCTATATTATATTACATACTCTTTCATTTAGAAAGGTTCCTCTAATTACTCAAAGTACTTTGTATTGATTTCATAATCGGTTTTTTTAAATATTTTCTTTCAGATTACAATTATTTTTATTTTCTTTCCTCTATAACAAATGCGTATTAATTAACTTAAACAGTACAGTCACATTGCTTTTCTCAATGTAAATTGTACTCATAAATTGTTGTAAAAGGACTCATGTACTACTATAATAAAGCTATTATTTCATTAAGCCGATCTCTTCATTCCCAACATCAGCCATACTGAAAATTTAAATTCCTACGAAAACTTTGAAATAGTGAAATACGATGATTATGGATAATACAAAAGTGTAGTATCTGACAATTATATAAAATTGTAATAAAATCTAAACTAGTAGAAAATTGCAATTGCTTAAATTAAAAAGATAATTCTATATTTTTATTTTTTGAACTCCCTAATGCAATATTAATGTAAAATTATTGCTCTAACTGATGACAGGAAAATGACAGTAGTATCTGCTAATAATTCGAAGGCAGATTGTTTGCCTTTTATTCTTCCGATGACCTTTGCGGCTTCTTCCTAACCCAGGATAAGGAAAATGTGTTGAAATTCCAGAGTAAATCAATAAGGAAAACCAAACATTTTGATGAAAACCAATCATAAAAGGGATCAAAACAATCAATCAATATTATCGAGGAAGTTATTACTAATATTGCTGCAACAGAATATGATAACTTTACATATATTTCCTACTAGACTAAAAAAAATATGCAAGAATTAATAGGAGGATATCATACTAAACTTTGAAAGAAAACCCGAATCTACATGAGGTGAGGATGTGGCTATTAAAAAAAAAAATTAAGAAATAGAAACGTTGTTTTAATAAGTTATAAGGAATTAATAAAGAAGAATATTTAATATACTTAAATGCAGTACTACAGAGCCAATATCTATGCTTTGAATTATTTAAAAGAGTTTAGTTTTATCATAAATTAGAAATCTCCGATTTATTTGTAAGCACAACTCGATTGAAAACATTAAAATCAGATCAACATTCCACTCTGCATGGTTTAGTGTGATTAAGCTATTGGTTAAGAACCACAGATACACGTATTGGCATAACTATATCTCCTCATCTTATGTTATTTTTTTTTCCTCATTGTTCTATATTTATAAGCGCTGTAATGATTGGCAAGCGTCCGAGGGGAAGACCAAAGCGAAGGTGGGTAGATTGCGTTAAGGCTGATTTGGCGGGGTTGGGTTTAGATAGAGCCCAGTGTATGGAAGAATGTGGACATCGATTGGTAGTATCGGGATCGAACCTTCGGGTTCGCTAAGCCTTATTATTATTATTATCATTGTTCTATATTTACGACAAAAAAAATAGACTAAAATACAGTATCTAATCGTTAATTTGAAAAGTAGAAAAGGAATCATAGAGTACAATATAGATCGTTAGATCACTGTGGGTGGCATATGGATGTTTTAAAAATCTGTTTTTTAATAATAAAGCATGACGTTCATGAGAATTATTTTTCTGCGTCAAGTTTATAGCCATTTTAATCTAAAAACCGAAATGAACCAAAGAACTTTGTTCAAGATTTTTGATACCTTTGTCCTGTTGAAAGCTATGAATTTTTAAAACGGTGGTGAAATCGGCTATACATTTTTGTTCTTATTTTTCGATCTATCATTTTTTATTTCATTTATCTCTGTAATGTTACTATATTGTATCTTATTACCTAAATTTTCATTGTATCATAAATAAAAAATACAACATTAAATGGATTAAATTTTTAGGATGTATTTTTTATTTGTAAAAAAATACAATTTATGGCAATTAGGTTAGTAGGATAACTGAAAGTGAAATTGCATAGATAAAACACATAACTGGAATAATGAATTTGAAAATGGATAAACAAGAATTCAAAACGTCAAAAAATAAAGTGATTGAAGGAGTATGAAGGTATCTCTTCAGTTTCTGATCCAAGCAGTGAGCCACTCTAAAAAATGAAAACCAAACATACTATGAATAAAGTATAGCTATCCATCAGCATGTCATTAATCTAAATATCGACCACACATCCTAGGTGTAGTAAGTCTCTTATCCATATTGAAGATACATAGAGCACGAACTTTTTGAATAAATTAATAGAATCATATTTAGTTGTAATTGAGTTAATATTATTCGCATCATTAATGTTTCAATGATGGTTTCAGTTTAATTGGAAATATAATTATTAAAATTAAAAATGATTAAAATTTAATTGAATATTTAATAGTTGACCGTTGCAGCTGAACACACCTGTAAGCCTAACATTCTTCTAATTTTATTTACTTATTTATTTATTTTTTGGTTTTCTTCTTTTTTTTTTTCTTTCTCCACATTCCTTCATGTCTATTATTTCATATTATACCCCTTTTCTTTTTCTTTCAATTTCTCCTGTAGATCTGTAAAGGTATACTCACATTTGCATATCTTATATATTACACTACAACAATTGTTACCATCTATTTACTTCAGTTGAGGATCTTGTTACTTAGCTTTCTCTGTTTATATTTCAATGTACTTACTGTTTATAATTTAATAAGCTTATTCACATTGTTTATATTTTTTTTTGTCATAATATTATGTAACTTCCACAATTCTCTATCTTTTTGTATCTTGTCCGTTCTAGCCCTGAAGAAGACCTGCAAAGTCGGGTCGAAACGTTGGCTTTTAATAAAATAGTTTTGTCGCTATTCGGTCTACTTATGACCGCCACCAGGGACCATCTCCTTCCATTAAAATTTAATCTTAAATGTTAAAGTTATATTATTTTTTATGGTAAATTTTAGACTTTTATGTGGCGTATAATACAGTGACTATTGGGCGTTGCCTGAAGATGGGGTCTCGAAACAACCGCTTGCTTCAGCGAAATCTGTTCTTTAAAGATATTAGCTATTGATGAGAGTATTAAGATCATTGAACCTCCATTGTTCTTCTGATCTTGGGCACTCGGAGATAACATCTTTATACACCGGAGCCGTTAGCTGTCCCATCCTCGTCTTGAGAAACCTCATCCGACTCTTGGGACGTCATTAGGTCAAGGCGTAACCTCTAGTAAACCTTTGGAATGGAATGAGTTGTGCTAAAAGAAGAATGGCAGCGTCCATTGGGGCAAGTTGATTGGCATTTTGCGGGAGTGAAGGAATCCACTTACATTATGTTTCGAGTGAACTCAACTCAAAGCTTAATGGTCTCTGAAATTAGTTTATTTTATTGAGAAGAGTTGCAAGCGATCCTGTTTTTTTTTTTGTTTTTTTTTACAGAAAGGTACCTAATATCTAATACATATAATTCATCACTTAAATACTCAGACAATTCTTACTATCAGATTCGACTTTCGATTTTTTTTTTTTCTACAGAAACACAGAGTTTATTTCTAAGAAGAATGATATGTATTCTTTATTTATTTTTATTTTTTTTAAATTGTATATTTATGTTTTACCACTGTACCTAGTTTTAAGTGTATTGGCATGGTTTCAAGTGTTTTCTATATAGATTTTTTTTAATTTTGTATATAGTATGTTTAACTAATATTTTCTTTACTTATTTCTCTTTATTTTTACTATTTATATTCGTTTTTACTTAGGCCAGATATAATATTTTAATTTTGTACTTTTTTGTTATTCTAAAGAGACTTTGTCCCAGACTCTGGGTCCCAGAGTAAAATTATTATTTTATTTTATTTTATTATTTTCTATTATATTCTATTCTAATACTCTAGACAAACCATAGTAAAAGTACTCTTTTAATATGGCTTATTTGAAATAATTAACAATTTCTCATGGTTTGTAGATATACGAATATGAGATGGATAATGTAATGTTTACATACATTTTATAGTTAACAAATAAAGAAAAAAATATTTTTCCTCGTTGAAAATAAATTTTCGAAAATTAATTATTATATATATATATATATATATATATATATATATATATATATATATATATATATACAATATACCATTGGTAATCTAGTGATTTAAGAATAATTAATATCTAAAATATAATTTATTGCAATGTAATGGAGATTTTCGAAGAAATAATGAATAACATTGTCTGAAAACTAATGTTATTTAGAGAAG